TAGTATTGAGAACATTTGGGTGGTAAAATACGTTCCATCCACACCACACGTTCTCACGATTATGCTTAGATGGAGTTTTAGCAGAGTTTGTTTTAGATCGATTAGAAGCAAGCAATAGTGGCATTCATACACGTGCGTATAAGAAATAACACAAATAAAAACCTATTGGTGTTGGAATTAATGGTTCAGTGTAACGACGTCTATGGTTAGCGGTATGCTAACGTGCTATTAACAGACCATATCTTTTGGTGGCGCTGTCAAATAACGAAGAATCGAGAGGCTAACAAAGGCTCTCATTCTCTTCCTCTATCGTGGGCTGCTGAACACCCGGTGATGAAAACCTCACGTAGGAGCCTCATTTCTGGTCATTATTGAATTAATGTAATGAAGACTGTTATTAATACTAGCTTCTGACTTAAACCGACGTGTTTCTCGCGACCATAGAATGGCAGGTCTAGCCGAAGACGTAGAATCTTTTTTTCTGTGTGAATATTGAATAGCTCTCGCCTGCCGGGCGCACAGAGCTGAGTGATTCCCGCATTGAAACTCGCGCAACACTGTCAATAATCTTCTCTGTGAATGGGCCTGAGCTGCCATATCGAGCGGGCGCGCTGAGACAAGAAACCTGAAATCGGCGCATGATTCGATTTAACCGCGACATTCAAAACAACCATGCGGCTGAACAACGTGTGCACGGGCGAACAACGCGCGTGAGGGTGAACAACGCGCGTGAGGGTGAACAACGCGCGTGAGGGTGAACAACGCGCGTGAGGGTGAACAACGAGCGTGAGGGTGAACAATGAGCGTGAGGGTGAACAACGCGCGTGAGGGTGAACAACGAGCGTGAGGGTGAACAACGCGCGTGAGGGTGAACAACGCGCGTGAGGGTGAACAATGCGTAGGAGGGTGAACAACGCGTGTGAAGGTGAACAATGAGCGTGAGGGTGAACAACGTGCGTGAGGGTGAACAACGAGCGTGAGGGTGAACAATGAGCGTGAGGATGAACAACGCGCGTGAGGGTGAACAACGCGCGTGAGGGTGAACAACGCACGTGTGGGTGAACAACGCGTGTGAGGGTGAACAACGCATGCATGGGTGAATAACGTCTGCGTGGGTGAGCAACGCGTGTGTGGGTGAACAATGCGTACGTGGCTAAACGACGTGCGCGGGTGAACAATGTGTGTACGGGTGAACAACGCGTGTATTACTGAAGGACGTGTGCGCGAGTGAACAATATGTGTGCGGATGAACAACGCGTGTATGGCTAAAGGACGTGTGTGCGAGTGAACAATATGTGTGTGGGTGAACAGAGCGTGTGCGGGTGAACAACGCGTGCGTGGGTGAACAACACGTATGTGGGTGAACAACGACAATATGAGCGCTGGATCCGTTGCCCACCGTGACGTGTGTGTAGGCACGCGTGCACGCCGACTACTGTGCGATAGTAATGTATATAGTCTATGTAATAGTCTAGCTGTGGTCTGTTGTCAGAAACATCGTCACAACTACTACAGGCTATACGGACCTGCGTGCGGTGGCTCGTGATACTTGTGGGAAGCAGGCGAGTGGTGCACCTACTCCCTTTCCCTAGCATCTTTCCGACGTTGTTTCCTAATCCTCCCCGCCAAGCTTTTATTGTTCGCAATTTCGAACGCACGCATGTCGTGGAACGTGTGGAACAACATCGATTTGTTATTCAGCCGGCACGTTTACATACGTGGTCGTCTTGTTGGGTTATGTGTCGAGATGGGAGAGCGAGAGAGAGAGAGAGATAGTGTAAGGGTAGTCGTATACTTTTGTGAGTCGCGCTGCTGTCGGCGGTTTAGTAGGCCGCCTATATTACACGCCGTGGAAACCAGTGACCCCTGAACTCTCACTCCCGCCCCGCCTGACCCGCCACTGCTGCCCACCCTCTGCATTTGAATATGAATCCGAGCGTCGAGTGCAATCTGGCTGCATTGATACTCTCAGGCGTACTGTGCTGGCCGCTCACTCACGGCTCGCCCCTCCGTAGTCATCGACGCCTATAGTTACCTCCGCCCAACGGAGTTGGAGGAGGTTATGTTTTGGCTCTCGTGTGCGTGTGTTCGTGTGTTCGCGCGATCGATATTAGCGTGTCAGCCAGCGAGCCAGCCAGCGCAGCGAGCCAGCGAGCGTGTACATGTGAGTGAGCAGCAGCAACGAGCGGCTCGCTCAAGCCATCAAGCCAGCATGTACATGTCAGTACGCTGGCGTATATCGTCGGTTATTCGTGTATTTCGTGAGTCGTATGGCGTATGGCGTATGTCGCTGGCGGAGGTATGCACTCTCCGTGAGTGCACTCTGTCTAGTTTTCTAATGCAGTCGAGCTGCGCACGTGCGTACGCGCGCAGTGCACGGCGCGGCGCTATCACGAATCTACATCTATTATCTAATGACACTCGTTAAGTCGAGAAGGCATTCGCGGCGCGCGCTAATAGCGTCATGACGTAGCGTTTATGGCGTATTTTTGTGTGTATTGTGGATGTGGAGACGGTGTCTTCCCATTTCGCCATTTCCCATTTCGCCAGTTTCCCATTTCGCCATTTCCCATTTCGCCAGTTTCCCATTTCGCCATTTTCCCACTTCGCCATTTCCCATTTCGCCATTTCCCATTTCGCCAGTTTCCCATTTCGCCATTTTCCCACTTCGCCATTTTCCCATTTCGCCATTTTCCCATTTCGCCATTTTCCCACTTCGCCATTTTCCCATTTCGCCATTTTCCCATTTCGCCATTTTCCCACTTCGCCAATTTCCCATTTCGCCAATATTTTATGTTGCTTCCACCCCCTGCACGAAATTGATCCTTCCATTCTTAAAAAAGAGTCATTTCTAGGGTTAGGGTTAGGGACAGGGTTAGCGTTAGGGTTAGGGCCTAGGGTTAGGGTTAGGGTTAGGGTTAAGGTGCCTGTACATGATCCATATGTTT